TTATTTATTTTTTAACAGCCCTAGGAGGACAACGTTAGGCATATCAGGTTATTTTAGACTGGCTGGGCAGCAGCAGAGTCTTGATGACTCCTTCAGTGTGTCTGACATCAGCACATCTAGATTACAGACTTCATAGTTTAATTTGCCTCAACAACCTCCCTGGTGGGCCCCCCTCCCACTCTCAGGCCCCATAGCAGCCATATGCGCTTTTAACTAAATAAATACACAAATAAATAAATATCACAATGACTCTATAGTCTATCTGAATTTAGAAAACCCTGAGCTATTATAAATTGGATTAGAAATGAGCAGTTTGTTCTATAGAGAAATATGACAAATGTAAAGCTATTGACTTGTGGCATTAAAATGACAAATTACATTTGTTTTGTTTTACATGAGAATGCTCTATTATTTTGTGTTTGGTTTGCCTGGAAATAGTTTGATTGATTTAATAATATAATTTCCTATGAAGGACATGAGGACAGGGTCTCATCTGTTCAGATACAAGATGCCCATTGTCCCTAGAGAGATGCCTACAGACCGGTCCATTTCAGAGCAGCATGGAATGAACTGAATGCTGAGCTCAGGGATGACTTTTCTGCAGGCTCTACTGTAACTAAAATGGGAACACTGTACAAACTGAGTTATACCCAGTTTATATAAAGTGTACCACAGCATAACATAATGTTTGACATTATTGAGTATAGATATGTTAACACCAAGGCATGGAGTTTGCATATGCCCCCGACCCAGGGCACCAAGGGACTTAAAGAAATGGAGCTAGGATAGTGAGGATGTAACAGAGTTCATATATCAGTGTTCTAGTGCTGTAGTAGAAAAAAATCTTTTATTTTAGGTTTACATTTTTTTATTGAGCCCTCTTGATGATGGTGTTCTTTGCATCATTGTGTTTAAGTGCAAGGCACGATCGTGAGGCCCCCTCAAGGGACGGATCCTTGACACCCTATACTTACAGGTTGTTCTCACTCTTACAGGTTCAACCACATGTTCAAATACATGTTATTAGATCTTTCCCAGCCTGATATATTGCTAGAGATGTGTAATATATCTATACACAAGAGACCCCCCCAAAAATACTAACAAGCGCACATAACAACAGCAAAACCTGGGTCTCTCTGCACTGCTGCCTGAAGGACCTTAAAACCAAAACAGTTATCAGATGTGGCTTGACAATACACCTGGCAAAACACAGAAAGCAGTTGCAGTTACAGTGGCAGTCTTGTAATTCTGTGAAACTGTGGCTTGATGGCAAAAAGCCCAAGAAGCACTCACAGACCTAGTAGACCGCGCCTTGACAGGAAAGGGTGGAACCTCATACTTTACACCACAAGCTTGGATGATGATCTGTCTGAGCCACTGAGAAATAGTGGAGCGAGAAGCTGGTCCCCTTTTTTGAGGTTGATCAAGGATGATCACCAGATTAAATTGGCCATCATATTATAGATGGCACATGAGGTCCATCTTTTTGAGGTTTTTTTTTCTTAACTTCGATCCACATTATATGCAGAAGAAAGCTTATTTCTTTGATCTGCTGATGATTAAAAGAGATTAGATACAAAAGTGACAATGTTACTCTTTTCTCTATAATGCATCTGAATGGTGATTATAAATGGTCTGTTTTTTGACAAAAGCAGATGTTACAGCTGCTGTATTTACAAAGCAACTTCTGGTTGTCATTTTGCCAGCTGAGAGTTGCAAGCAAGTGCCAAGTGGGGAGCAGCAAAGGAGCAGAAGGACAGGGTGCACTGCCTACACCCCGTATACTTTGATTACGTTTTACTTGGGAGTGCTCCACACATCCAGTGTCCACAATTAGTAAACACCAAAACCTAAATCCTATAGGAGTTGGTATCTCATATATGAGAAGACCGAATACGTCTATAAATAAAGCAGAAAATCCCTTTATAGTCTTCTACCGGAACCAACAACTGCAGAGCAGATAATATAGAATGAAGATACAGTATACTGACATCTGTACAGCACATGGATACAAACAAGAGACACAGCCTTTATGGAGTAATTCCACTACTTACCCACAATGCTTCATGTTTTGTGGTTTATCCATTCGGACTGCTAACTTTATTTTAAGGTCCTGATCAGGGCAGTTTTTGGACACTGCCATTTTGTGAAACTCTGATTGTTTGGGACTGTTGGGTGTTGGGTGTAGGACAACCTAAAATATGCAAATAAATAGAAAAAACAATAGTCTATCATTCGGTATAAAGTAGTTGAGTCTACATGGAGAAAGCAAGCATGCCCTTCATATATGAATAGCGCTGCGGTTACCAGCACTCTTGCTTTGCAATGCTGAGGTCCAGAGCTCAATTTTCAATATAGAAACTAAGGGGTCTATTCACAAAGCTGCCGAAGGATCTGGCCGCAGCTTCGGCCGATCCTTCGGCTAGCTTCGGCACCAGGACCCCTTCGGTTCAGGAGAACCGAGGGGGTGCTGTAAGGGTGCTGTACGGGCTATTCACAATAGCCCGTACAGCTCCCGATCACGGCCGAGTGGCTCAGTGGAGCGCTGAGCCGTGCTGAAAGACGAAGCTGGCCGAGCGGTGCTGTACGGGCTATTCACTATAGCCTGTACAGCTCCCGAATGTGGCAGAGCGGCTTAGTCGAGCCGAACTCATATGCCTCAGCTCGGCTGAGCCGCGCTGAAAGCCTAAGCTGGGCGAGCGGCCGGCCATTGGCTGGCCGACAGCCTGCTTCTGACAGCTGGGCGGAGCCAGCCGTGATCTTACGGCTGGCTCCGGCCACTTTCAGAGAGATCAGCGTCCCTGGTTGCTAACCGATGTACGGCTGATTTCAGCCGATATACGGCTGAAATCAGCCGTACCAGCCAGAAGTGAATAGCCGAACGGTGTTCGGCTCACTTCACTTCTGATCAGTCATTCACTCGGCTGCCCTCGGCAGCTTTGTGAATAGACCCCTAACTGTATACTGCTCATATGTTCTCTGAATGATTGTCTGTAATACCAGCCCTGAATGTTCCTTTTAAAACCCTAAAGGCTACAGTTAGGGTTATTGGACTGGATTAAATTGGTCAGATACCAAGTACCATACTCGGTACAGGTACATGTACAGATATTTTTCCAGCTCCAAGACTAGACTAGAGAAAAATTCAAAAGTTAGGAGGCAGCTGTCATTTTTCATGTCATCATACAGAGCACCTGGGATTTGTACATCCCTGTTTTATTGTATGATGATTTTTTTTAAATAAATATATATTAGGGATGCACCAATACCATTTTTTTAAGTACAAGTACTGATACTTGTCCAAGTACTCGCAGATACAAGTACTGATACATTTTTGTTTAGTGTCATGTGACAGTTTTTCTAAAACAATACAGACCAATGATTTCAGGACAGTGGTGGAGCGCCAGAGTGAGGTCCCAACTGCAACTGCTGCAACCCTGGTAGATCTCGTGAAAATCGGCACTGGTATCTGAAATTCCCAGTCCTAGTTGGTTCTTATGTATCTGTGTGAATGTCATAGTAGCATTACATTGTTCCTCTAGGGCAGAAACTCATGTAAGTGGTTCTGTGTACTAAGTATATTATGTGCTAATATTTACACATTTTACATATCAGGGCAAATGTTGTTTACTGCAAAGTTCTCCAGCACCATGAATGGCATACATAATAAACATGAGAAACACACCTGTACTTTTTTTTTAGTACTTTTATTTTTGCACTTCCAACAAGGTGACAGAAGGCAGAAACACTAGTATGTTTGACAAGTTTTGGACTTGATGCTCTCAGTTATAATTAAGGAGAACTATGAGGTGAGTGAAAATCACACAGCCTCATAGTTCTAGCCGACCTGTGACAATGAAACTGTCACAGGTCGGCTCAATAGATCGGGAAGTGAGCGAACACATAGCGTCGCTCGCTCACTTCTCGATCCTGTCCCTGTAGAGAGCCGTGACTGTCACTCACGGATCCCTGCAGGGATTCCACCCCTCCCCCAGCGCTGACTGGCGGAACGGACGTGGAAGGGGACAGGTACAGCTGGCTCTGCCTCTACATAGGCAGAGCCAGCTGTCACTCACACACCTGGGTGGATCCAGACAGTAATGTCGGGATCCGTCCTGGCTGCGGCGCCTCAGTATACCGCGAGCTGTAGCTCTATCCTCCTGTAGCTCGCGGTAAACTGAGCTTTGGGTGACGGAAGGATGCTAGTTTGTGTCCTCCCGTTACCCTTAGGAGAACAATGAGGAAAAGCCCTGACCCCATAGTTCTCCTTCAACAAAAATTTTATGCAACATTAATCAGTTTTAACATGTTTGTGGCTCTATCACACACACAAAAAAAGAAGCTGCTAGCAGGTATAAAGTATATGCTCCTAGAGGTGCCTACACATACCTACAGCAGCTCTCACTGCCCTTTGTTATGTTTGAATTAGTCTGTCACTTCTAGGTGAGTGAGCCAGTCCACTCAGTCTATCCTCACACACATTGTAATTGGCCAAAAAGACAACCTGTTATAGAGATGAGTCAACTGAATGTGTTGGTGGTGGTGGTGGTGGTGGGGGAGAGCAAGCAAATTCTGAACTATTCGGAATTAAAAGGGTCTCATAGCAGAATTGTCCCATGCAACCTCCCCACATTTAGCTGGCACTGCTGATCGGATACCATTTATCTGTAATATTTGAAACTTTGGCTTTCCCCTCCTAAATGAGCCTATGTAGCTCTGGTTTAATGGAGCTGTTGGCAGGGTATGCAAGACTGGGATGAGTACGAGCTTTACATTCCCTTTCAGCAGAATGGTGTCCAGCCTCCCAAGGCAGGCCTAGTATACCAAGTATACCAAGAGGGTTTTACAATCAGCAGTCAGTTGGGCTTTGGTCCACCCCATTTTTGCAGCCACTACCGTTATGCGAGTGCTGCTGTTCACAATGCTTTTGGATCAAAAATATAAAAACAAATTATTTTACTTGTCCTGATGGGTTGTTCATATTTCCTGTGAGAGTTAATGGAAGTAGGGGCTAGGGGTATATATTTTCCCTAAATATCTTGATGCTAAAATGTCTAACTCTTTACTTTCTCAGGCATTTGGGTGTTATGTTGATACATTCCTTACCCGTCCAAGTTCCTTATCCTCCAGTGCCAGCACTCCAGTGCTCTCTGTAAAAAGCTTCACTTTGACGGCAGGCAGTGCATGAGTAGTGCTAAAGTCCCCTTGTGTCCCCCAGCTGCAAAAAAAGACAAACAATTGTCAACATGCATGATAAGCAAATCAGACAAAGGGTTAAATCTAAAATGACAATGTAGCACAAAAATGTGCTACAACTCAGTGACAAGAAATGTGTTAATTGTCTCCCTAGTTAATGTGAGACAGATGTCTGGGATGGTACTTTGGTGCTAAGATCTTGTAGGTGCAAGATGTTGCATATCAGCAGTAGCACAACTCTTGTTCTTTATTAACCAATTTCTATAAGTAGTATTTCTGGGAGTATTCAAAGTTTCATTTATAGTGACTGAAGAAAAAGAATATAACTTGGACAGGGTGTCAAAGTAGCCAATCACCAATCAAGTGGAAGAAAGGGGAGTAAGTCACACGCTCCCCTATACCCTGCAAAGGCAAAGCACGGGTTCAGTTTAAGCTTTAAGTGCCATCTTAAAACCTCCACATGTGGACTTAAACTAAGGGGTCTATTCACAAAGCCTAGCCGTAGCTTCGGCTGATCCTTCGGCTAGCTTCGGCTCCAGGACCCCTTCGGTTCAGTAGAACCAAAGGGCTGCTGTACGGGCTATTCACTATAGCCCGTACAGCTCCCGAAGTCGACTGAGCCGAGGTGAAAGCCGAAGCTGGCCGAGCGGCCGGCCGACAGCCTGCTTCTGACAGCTGGGCGGAGCCAGCCGTGATCTTAAGGTTGGCTCCGGCCACTTGCAGAGAGATCAGTGTCCCTGGTTACCAGCTAACCAGGGACACTGATCTCCAGACAGCCCAACTCTCCCAGGCGCTGCGGGAGACTCCCGCTCCCGGCCGCCCAGGAGAGAAACACTGCTTTTTCTTTCTTTTTTTATTCTGACATGCAGCCCTTGGCTGTCGTCAGAATAAAAAAAAGATTTCTCCGTAGGAATGCATTGCTAGATTCCTATTGGCTATTTCAATTTGCAATAACCAATAGCAAACTAGCTATTGCACCCGCCCACTGCTGCTGTCAATCAGCAGAGGGGACCTGCAGTTCTCCATCAGGTCCCCACTAGTTATTGGCAGCAGCAGAGGGCGGGTGCAATAGCTAGCTCAGCGGCATTCGGCTATTCACTCACTGCTGTTCGGCATCTATAAGAATAGACGAAACAGCAGCGAGTAGCCTGCCAGAGGTTCCGCCTAGCCGATCCAGATGTTGGATCGGCTGAGTCGAACTCCTTCTGCACTTCAGGTCGGCCGAACATGCCAAGCATGTTCGGGTGACCCAAAGCCACGCAAAGCTACCCGGTGTACGGCTGATTTCAGCCGATAAACGGCTGAAATCAGCCGCACCAGCTTGAAGTGAATAGCCAAACCGCGTTCGGCTCACTTCGCTTCAGGTCGGTCGTTCACTCGGCTGCCTACGGCAGCTAAGTGAATAGACCCCTAAGATTCTTAATTAAATAAGATCACACTGTACTATGTCCACCCTACTCCCTAAACAAGTGGTAATGTAAGTCAGAACTTTACTAAAAACACATGCTAGCAGGAAGACTTTTTATTGCAGAAGGGATGTACTTTGAGACATACTACTAATAAATGCTTCTCATCTAACTGCTTGCAAACTTCTATAGACCTAAGTGGATAATCTCGGCATGCCTTGGTGTCAGGATGAATTACATCCTGAGCGCATGCAGTGGAGTTACGTCAACTCCACTGCAGCCAATCAAGATGGTTGAAGATGACATAGGTGGAAAAAGACTGAGAAAAGATGTTGGCATCAGCGAAGAAGCTCATTGACATCACATCATTGGAGGTTACTTGAACAAAGTGGACTTCATTTACTATTTTAAGCCCAACTCCAGCCCAAATTTCTATTGCTCAAAGGAGTAGTGGGGATGAGCAGCTGGAATATGAACTTTCCGTAGTTTCATAGGAGCAATGTTTAGGCCTGATGGCTCAGTTTCGGTGGCTCTTTAAAAAATGGGGGGCCTCAGGGGGGTTGCCTAGAATGATAAATCCATTTGAATAAAGGCTAAAAGAGCTTTTTACTTGCTGTCTTTGCTCCTATTTGGGGGATTCTTATTAACTTCCTGTAAGACAGGAAATTCACACCAGCACAGGGAGATCATGCACACTCTATGCAGATAAATAATAATCTTAATCAAATCATTATTAAATCAAAGGGAAAAATATGGATGCATTATTGGCTAGCATTACTGTCAGAATAAGATTGTGGTGGGGGTTCTCGTTTTTATGATGCCAAAGTCACATTGCTCTAAAAACCTGTAACATTTATCTGTATGAAGGTGTAAAGTTCTCGGTTCTGTATAGGAAAAGCCCTATGAGGGTAACCTTTACATCCTTCTCCTCTATAGTCCTCTACTGCCCAGGGACCAATGTGATTGGCAGATCTTATAAATACATGTAACTGAGCATCATTTGGATTGTGAAATTAAGAGCCCGGGATACAGGGGATTTTGTTCTACTCTAGATTGTATCCTTTTGGGAAAGGCACAAAGTCTGATCTGCTGGATAGAGTTCAACAGCTGGTGCCTGCCAGCAAATGCATTTCATCAGCAGTAGATCGGTGCAGACAGCTGCATTTTGCCCAGGATGACAGCCGTGAACTTTACAACAAACGAGGATGCCCCAAGCGTGCAGGTAGCGGCACATTCAGCTTCATCTGTGTAAAATAAATGCTGGAATTTGTTCAAAGCTCAAGAGTGGGATGTACAAGAAAAGATCCCAACAGTATATAACGGCATGTGATTTCTGGGCCAGGACATGCGGAAGAAATAATATACTGTATAACCTACCTCTAGCCAAATTCATATTTAGTCTTAGAAAGAATAAGGAAGAGGTCACATTGGTCGGGTATTTATTCCTCTCCATCTCTCTGTGACACAATGGAATATGGCAGCACAGTGGCTTAGTGGATAGCACTTCTGTCTGGAAGCACTGAGGTGTCTTGCTTGAATCTCACTCAGGACACTATCTGCAAAGAGTTTGCATGTTCTCCCTGTGCTTGCTTGGGTTTCCTCCCACACTCCAAAGACATGCTGGTAGGTTAATTGGCTCCTGTCTAAATTGGCACTGTATGGATGTGAGATAGGGACCTTAGATAGTAAGTTCATCGAAGCCAGGGACTGATGTGAATGTACACTATTTAACGCACTGTTAAACTTTTTGCTTTCTGCTTTATAAATACCAATGGTAAATACATAAATGAGGTTGTCAGTCGGACAGGAAGACACAGGCAGAAACAAAAACATTGTCAGAAGTTGTTACTTTTCCCCACTGATTTTCCATCACTTCCTGTCTTGACACAGCCTATTATCTGCTCCAATTTATATACTGTGCTTCAAAGTAATCATTATTATTATTATACAGGATTTACATAGCGCCAACAGTTTGCACAGCTCTTTACAATATAAGGAAGACATTACAATCACAATACAATTCAAGACAAGATGGTAAGGAGGGCCCTGCCCCTGAGGGCTTACAATCTAAAAGGGAGGGGGAGTTCAATTGAACCGTCCTAATTTATCACTGTGATGCTGTCAGGTTGCATATAAAGTCCTTATGGTGTCTGCCCAGTGAGTGTTGCTTCGACCTGGTTTCCTATTGTTTTTTTGCAATGATTCAAGTTATCGTTTGTAAGTGAACTTTTATCATTTCATTCATAAAAAAAAAGGTTTATTAGCATTATCCAGTACACTCTGGTTTGCTCTTATCCCCCATGCAAAGGAAGGAATATGCCTCTTTTTTTGCTTTTTAGTCATTAGCAAAGTGCTGTAGCAAGGTTAAAAAAAAAACCTGTGCTGCCAGAACATAGGAGAGTTAGACCGCAGCTCTTACACAAAACACAGCGGACATGACCCACTTATCACTGCTATAATCCAGATAGCTCTTGCTTACTGAGCTTCGCTGTTGATTAGAGCAGTGTTCAGGGAGGTGCTCGACTGTGTCCAACAGGAGTAGCAGTCAGGCTCTCCTAACTGCTGCAGCAAAGTGTTTTTATAACTCCTGCAGCAGCACTTAGGTGATAAAAAGAGGTAAAAATATTACTGTGCAAGCAGCCTGGCTGCATACATTATTGAATTTAGAGGGTTCAGTTGGGCTTTAACACTGTATAGATTGCATACACTGGACTGCATTATTTTACACTTTGCTTAATATGTATCACAATTGTTAGCCCATACTGTAAGCATTGCAGCACAAGGAGCCATTCAGGTGTGCTGCAATGCTTACAGCAGGCCTCAAAATTTCCACTCGCCCCCTCGCAATTGGCGAGTGAAAATTGCGGGGGGGCTAGTGGAATGTCAGCAATGGTGCCTCGCCGGCGGGACTAGGGATGGAACACTACCGCCGCGGCAATTGCTCGCTCACTTCTGTTTTCTCTTCTCTTTCTCGCCTGCTGCAGCTACAGAGTGGCCGAGCCCGAGAAGGAGAAGAGAGAACAGAAGCGAGCGAGCGATTGCCGCGGCGGTAGTGTTCCACCCAGAGCCGGAGCTAGCTCTCTGCGCTCACTCTCTTTCGTTCCGGCCGCTTCAGCTCCACTCAGAGAGGCGGCTCTGATTACACCCGTTATCGCTCCCTCTCTCTCCTTCTGGCCGCTCTGAAGCTTCAGCGGCCGGGAGCAGAGAGAGGGAACGCTGACAGGTGTGATCGTAGCTGCCTCTCTGAGTGGTCGCTTCCTGGAGCTGTAGCTGGAGCGGTCGGGAGAAGAGGTGATCATTCAGCGGTGTGATTCTGAGCAGTCTTAAAGAGCCCCCACTCCCAGTCCACATCTTTTTGACGTTATTAATCTGAGTTGCCCCACTCAGTATGCCCCTCGCTTGCAGCCATATTGAGTGGGGCACTCATATTAATAAAGTGCTGAATTAGTCTGACCCAGAGGCGGACTAGGCCCGGGGTCAGGGTGGCAATTGCCACCCTGACCCCGGGCCTAGTCCGCCTCTGGGTCAGACTAATTCAGCACTTTATTAATATGAGTGCCCCACTCAATATGGCTGCAAGCGAGGGGCATACTGAGTGGGGCAACTCAGATTAATA